TTTAATGGAGATCTAGTCAAAAGGGCCCAGAGCATTCACAAATGCTTTGATTTAAAAACAGAAAATTGTCCTAAGACCCAAGCTTGCTGTAATTTATCTATGATGCTTACTTCTTAAACAGTTACATGACAGAAGTCTATCATTTTAGTTTTATTCAATATATACGTTATTTTAAAAAATGCATTAATCAATAAGTGTGTGACAAACTGCCAAAGGCAAGACTACATAGTTAAGCTATTAGTAGTTTCATTCTGAAGTGGACCAAATCTCTTGCTATATTAGCAAAAAATACACAAGACATATTAATTATTAAACTTCAAAAAGGGGCTACTGGGTAGGTTCACTAGCTGCTGTTCATATTATATTTAGATGCCATCTAACCATTCTTTTCTAAGAAACTCATCAGATGGCCTTCAGTACATAGCAGTAGAGGTCCTGATCCTACCAATGTTTACACATGTGAACAATTTTATGTACAGGAATAGTTCCATTGAACTCTAATCTACAGGATAAGGGCTATATACAACAATAAGGAATCTCAGCACGGTGTCGTCTCTGGACCTTGTTGGTAGAGATGGGGACACAACTGATCTCTGTGTAATGGCCCTAATATCATCCAAAGAATCTGGCCACTCAAACAGGAAGTGTATAATGTAAACATAGACCTTATAGGTCAAATTGCATCTGCTTACATTATGTGAGAGTCTGACCCTTTAACGACAGGTGAAATGATGACCGAGTGGTACCTTTAATTCTGTCCGATTGTGGTTACAATCTGTTCAACTGCTCTTGTTGTCAATTCTTGATCCTTTCAGAAATAGTAGCAAGCTGATCTGAGAAAAGGGCTTCCACCTCTGAAATCTCTGAAACCTCCTCCAGAGCCCAAGTTCAGTGAACTTCAAGGCCCTTTGTTAGGCTATATGTTTGTTCCAACTTTTGTCTGCCTGGTAGGGTGTTCAAGATTTATTGTGTTTTTGCTTGGAAAGACCAAAATTTAGCAATTTTTTTACATTTATTGTGAGGTTCCCAAGTCCTAAGAAAATGGCCACCATGTATAAATGCCTGAAATAAAAGTAGAAACTCTCCATTTTATTTTTATAATTACTATTTGAATTCAGACTTAGAATGTAATAGGGGGGTACTACGTGAAATAATTCTCTGATCCAAATATAGGGGTAATAAAAAAACCCTCTTTACTATAAATATTACAAGAATATGCATGTATGCTTTTTATGTATATATAATGATTTTTTATGTTCAATAATTTATTTAAATTTAAGTAACAGTGTCACTAGACCCAGACAATAATACCAAATAGATACAAGCCATATGGTAGGGTAAGTCTATGCAACTTATTTTGAAATAATAATTATTTCCAATTTCCTTTCCAACTAATCTGTGTTGTTTTATTCCTGCTGAGACTTGCTCCATGATCAATTTTACTCTGAACCGATTGACCCATCCAGTACTTTGTAGTCCACAATAGGTAGGGCCCTACCAAATTCACTGTCCATTTTGGTCAATTTCACGGTCATAGAATTTTAAAAATTGTACATTTCATGATTTCAGCTATTTAAATCTGAAATTTCACGGTGTTGTAATTGTAGGGGTCCTGATCCAAAAAGGAGTTGTGGGGAGGGGAGGTCGCAAGGTTATTGTAGGGGGGGTTGCGGTACTGCTACCCTTACTTCTGTGCTGCTGTTGCTGGTGGCGCTGCCTTCAGAGATGGGCAGCTGGAGAGTGGCGGCGGCTGGCTGGGAGCTCAGCTCTGAAGGCAGAGCCACTGCCAGCAGCAGTGCAGAAGTAAGGATGGCATGGTATGGCATTGCCACCCTTACTTCTGTGCTGCTGCTGGCGGGAAGCTGCCTTCAGAGCTGGACGCCTGGCCAACAGACACCACTCTCTGACAGCCCAGCTCTGAAGGCAGCACAGAAGTAAGGGTGGCAATACCTCCCCTAAAATAACCTTGCGACCCCCCTGCAACTCCCTTTTGGGCCAAGACCCCCAATTTGAGAAATGCTGGTCTCCCCCGTGAAATCGGTATAGTATAGGATAAAAGGACACAAAAGACCAGATTTCAAGGGGGGGAGACCAGATTTCATGGCCCGTGATGTGTTTTTCATGGCCGTGAATTTGGTAGGGCCTTAACTATAGGATTAATTAAATGGTTTTGTTTTTCCATTCCCACTGTGAAATTTATGCAAGGATTTTTGCTTTCTAAATATAACACACTGAAATGCTAATCCATTTTCCAAGTATTTGCTTCCCAGAATATCGTGTCAATACATACTACTCATACTTTTTGCATAAACCAACTTCAAAGGTTTCATGACAACAGTGGGAGAAATTACATATTGAGTGCAAAGATCAGTTGACTTGTCAAAATGTTAATGATATCTTAATTTAAATTATTTGTAACAGTACTGCTAACAAAAAAAATCAAAATATTATTATTTATTATTTGTATTAAAGGAAATTAACAATAGAAACAAATTAAGGGTCTGATTTCTCAGAAGTGCCAAGCACTTGGGAAATTCTGTTCTCTTCCACTGAAGTTGTGGGTTCTTAGCACTTCTGAAAATTAAGCCCTAAAATAACATGAAGTGGCAAGATTAACTGGAAAAAAAAAAAACACACACAAGGAAACTGAATACAGATGGGCTATACTGTCCTTAACTCACCCTGCTTAGTTTAACAATTGCAGGCATCTCAGAACAGTGTAAGGTCCTGCATACTACACATTGTAACTTTTTTGAGATTAACTCCACTCCGCCTTTTCCCCCTGATTTATACCTCACAAGCTCAGGTCTCCTGCGAAGGATGACTGGAAAAAGACTCTCTTTGGAGAGAACCAACATTGCTCCTTATTTGGCAAGAGAGAATTTGTTATTGAGTTATGCAAGGTACTCTCTTCCCTCTCCAGAGACTCAGTAGTGCTGCCACAGCACTTAAAGCCCTGGGAGCAGAATGAAACCAGGAATCAAACAAGATTTCCCATAAGAAAGCAATATCATCAGTTCACTGGGCCAGCACAGGTCTAGTTTTGGTGAAGAAACTGGGTAAAAAAAAAATTGTTAGACCAAGTATGTTTAAACTGCTAACTGCTATAAAATTTATTTAGGACTCCTTTCTATATTAAAATAAATGTGTTACTGTGTAGCTCAATATATTCAATTTCCAGAAGGTACCCAACACTGAGCGATGATATTTAAGAGGCTCTTCTTCTATATATCCACGGGAGTTGGACTGGACTATCTGTAAGGTATAATTTACAAATTTTCCAAAGCAGTCTCAGTTTATGCACAGAGTTTTGCACATGCAAATCAGCAGAATAGTTAGTTCAATGATGCGTGCAAATTATGGTGTTTCCATGTGCAAATTCAGGCCCTGATTCGTCAGACATTTGACCAACATGCATAATGTTAAGCATGTGTGTGATCCCTATTGAATCCAAAGAGCTGAAGTCAGCCAAGTATATTAACGTGGCTCAGCCCGGGTACCCAGTGAGCTTCCAGATCTCATGCAGGAGGCACTGGAGGAGTGCAGGGTACTCAATCTTGGAGCAGAAGTAAGGAGACCTTTGGGGCAAACTCTGTACTGTACTGACAACTCTTGTGATTTTATCATGCATCTCACAATAGAGAGGATGGATGATCCAGTGGTTAGGGCACTAGCCTGGGACTTGGGAGTCCAGCATTCAATTCTCTGGTCTGCCACAAGCTTCCTGTGTGGCCTTGGTCTCTTAGTCTAAGTTCCCCATCTGTAAAACGGAGTTTATAGCACTTTCCTACACTTTAAAGATTGTGAGACACTCAGATACTATAGTAATGCAGGCCTTTCTCAAAACCCCAGCTGCTGGAATCGCATGATTATGTGAGAATATCAGCTTTTGTTTAAAAAAAAAAAAACAGTTTCTAGCCTTCATGGTTGTAGACAAAAGCCTGAAAACATGAACTAAGTATACCCTAAAGGTTGAAACAACAGAAGACAAACAAAAAAAGAATCCTAAGTATTATTTTTAAACATCTCATGATTTTGGAGGCCTGTGTCATGATTTTTGAATGCATAGGGATACCAATACTACATGCTATCCCAGGCCTTTCATCTGCCACATGCATAAGCATAATGGCTGAGGAAACCTCTGCTTAATCCCTAACATCCTACATTCCTGTAATGGGGCTCAAAGGAATTAGGGCAGAATTTTGCCTTCTATTTTTAAGTATTTTAGAAGACCTTTTGATCTTTAGAATTGTTGATCCTCATTATGGGCCATACTAGTACAGCGCTAATGGTTCCATTGACCAAACCCTGAGGCTCCTAATTACTTTTGTTTGAACAACAGAATTGACAGAGGTTAGGAAAATTATAAGTACATAAATAAAATACGTCAGGGAAGATTTCTTCCTGTCTTAGTTTCCCTGTTCTTATTTAAAAACATATAAAGAGATGTATAAAAAAGTGTTACACAGTAATTATATAGGTAATTCCCCTCTCTTCTGTTACTCACCTATGGGAATGGGCAGTGAAAAACAAGTTTTAATCATTCTTATTCATTGATAGAGTAACACTCAATTAAAGGAAGATAATTTACGTCACCTGCCATTTACTGTGCAACTTCTTTGTATAAAATTACAAGGGAAGAAATTATTATGATTTCTCAGCACTCCTAATAGCAGTCTCTGTGTATAAAATAATAATGGTAAGAATATTTCATATTGATATAGAGTGAGAGTCTGATTTTCAGAGGTACTGAGCCCTCAACAACTCCCGTGAACTTCTGTGGGAGCTGTGGATGCTAAGTATCTCTGGAAAAAACAATCAGGCTATTAATCATTTCAGATGAAGAATAAAAACAAATAATTTAGTTTTCATATTAAAAATAAGGAAGTGATGTGTAGGGATATATATTTAACACACATTTTAAAGAAAGCATCAATTTCTAAGATTATAATAAATTCAATAATTTTTTTTTTTGTTTTTATAGTTTTCCCAGTGTTTACCTCTGCAATCTCTATCCTTTTTGCAAGTTCATCGAGCGAAGAAAAGCTGTCATCTAATAATAAAGCTTCTGTTGAGCTGTATGATGCTTGTTCCAGTGGAATATCTGGGAGAGTTTCAGAGTCCTCTTGGTTTTCTAAATTTGCAAGGGATTCTTCAGTGTCTTTTATGCTACCATTTAAGAATCTGCCAAAAAAATCTTCCGGTTCGTCATTATTTACCTCCTCCTCCTGCTGCCTTGCCATCTCCTGCAGTCCCTTGCATACTTTTGGATGTGCAGGACTGATATGTTCAGGTGCTTTGTTACTTCCAGAACACATGTTTTCACAAATGTTTGATGCAGTTCTATCCTGTGGGGATTTTCCATCCTCATCTCCTAAACCAGGCTTCTGCTGCTGCTGGTTTAATGCACTATTTCCTAGCTGGCTTCTGGCAGTCTCAGTAGAGCCTGCACGGTGTTTTGACCTGAGAACATTTCTTTCAGCTTGTACATTTTCATCTTTAGAAATCAAATCAGGAGGGATATAATCAGCGTCCATTAAAACTAAGGTGTCTACCATTGGCTCAGCAGAGAGTTCCACTCCAGGCTCCTTAGCCACGTCTTCTATTTTTGCCACATCCTTAGAGAACTGCTTCTCTCTCCGCTGCAAACTGTTATCTTTACCAGCATCCCCAGATGATAAACAGTCAGAACAAGGCCTGCCCACTGTCCCTATAGACTGGGTGTGTGGCTCCAGTGTTGATTCAGCACTGCAGTGCTGCTCCTCCATGTGGTCCTTCCCTGCAGCTACTTGAAGACGGGCTGCTTCTGTAAGCCTATCAGTTTTACTATCACACAGGGAGCTCTCACTCATCTGTCTCTCTCTGTGCTGGTTTTCTTTTCTTGGTCCAATGCCAGGCCAAGTTTCAGTATCTAAATGCAACAGGAAGACAGTTCCAGCATTTTAAAATGATTCAAAACATCAATAGTGTGTCGAAAGAGCATACTATGACTTGATAACACTGCACACAAATGTTTCACAATAAATTCCCCTCTAGTGCAGATAGTGCTGCTCCAGTTAGTAGAAAACATAAAACACCCAGAATAAATCATAAATAAGACCCCAATTCAGCAAAGCACTTAAGTGAATGTTTAAAGTTAAGAAAATGCTTAAGTGTTTTGCTGAAAAGGGATGGGATTACTCACATGCTTAAAGTAAAGAATGTTCTTACGTACTTCAAGAAATAAGGGCCTAATTTCCCTCTCAAACATATTTCATGCAAGGAACTACATGTAGATTATTCCAAGATTTCTAGAAGGAAGGGTGGGGAGGGAAGAGGGATATGATGTCAAAACTACAGAAGCAATTTTTTTCCTGGTTCCACTGCAATGGGTAACTCAGATACATTAGTATTACTGTTATCACATTTCACTGAGGTATGTAGGTGCATTTTTTAAAAAGCCTAAAAATCACAAGAATTGAATGTTTTCTCCATGTGGTCCTTTGTCTTTAATATTTAACTATTTCCTTAAGTTAATGCAAAGTAAAATAAAATATTTGATTACAATATTCATAGATAATAAATTACACAGCTAAAATTGCTTTTACGGACTTCTATATGGGTAGCCAGTATGGGTTATATATAAAAACCACAAATACAATTTGGATTTAGCTTATGTTTGGTTTCAGATATTTTCAATATAAATTACCAGGGAAGAATGATCTCTGTTTACTGAGCTGTTATGGAACTTTATTTTAGAGAGAAGTGAGAACAATAATACACATATACTGTGAATTCAAAAAAGTTTAGAGTTACACTCATTTTTGGTTAGGAAATGTTGGTAAATTATTTATCGGTAGGTTAAAGAACTTATAATTCAATAATTATTTATTTCTAACAAAGTAGGAATTTAAGAAATAGTACATTCAGTGCCAATACAATATGTTCATGTAGTGGAAGAGCAAAAAGCTAGTCTGAGTTGTGCCTAAGATTATTAGATATGGGCCTTAACTGGAACCTCAAATCCAACCTTCTTCCCCCCCCACCCAGTTTTGGGGAGAGAAAAAGGGAGTGCCTGAGATTCAAATGACAAAGCAATCTCTATTCAACAGACTTTTTTTATTACATGTTTATACAGAGCCACCTAGAACAACAAGGTCTGTATTATAGAAGTTACTGTAATAATAAATAATAATAATAATACACAACAAATTCCTAACACAAAATCTACTTAATTGAATTTTTGGTTCAGAGTCAAAAGTAGAAGGGTCTATGGATCAGGTTGATGGAAGAAATATCAAGTGGCCCCAGAAATTTCCATCATTTCCTGCTGAAGTGTCACAAGATTCTTAAGCCATTCAATCTGAATCCATGCTAGCTATGGATGTTGTGTCAAACCTGAACCCTAGTGTAAACCTGCACTGGAAAAGAGCACTGCCTCCTCTGCTCAGCTCTCAAATATATTTGAAACAGGGTTGAATTTCTCTGTCTTAAAGCAAGGAAAGATTATGTTTGATGATAATCCTCATATTTTAAAACTTAATGAAATACTAGCTGAAAATGACAGGTTTCAGAGTAGCAGCCGTGTTAGTCTGTATCCGCAAAAAGAACAGGAGTACTTGTGGCACCTTAGAGACTAACAAATTTATTAGAGTAAAGTTAGAAATTATATGAGAGACCACACAGCCTACTTGAGGATGAATAAAAATCAGAACATTAATAGATGGAAGGGATAAACAGAAGCTAATTATATAGGATAGAAAGAAGAAATGGGTATGAGAGAGACAGTTTTGAAAATTAGGCACAAAGGACAAGACAGCTGAGGGGTTTGTAATGGGATACTGAGCTCTACATGTATAGGTCACCAGTTCAAATACAGCCCAGATTGTCAGTAGCAGGATTTTGTTACCATCTGTCAATTTTTCCCAGTTGATATGACCATGTTACAACAGGCACCTTTGTTGGCAAGTAGGAACACCAAAGATTAAATGGACATGGAAATTAAATCAGCCTCTTTACCATGCAGGATGGCCCCTTGAGGTCAGGGTTGAAACAGACAGACATGTCTGTGTGGGGAAGCTTATACTGTGTGTCTAGAGATAGAGGACTTCAATGTCCAGTGCTGTCGGTCTTTTTTTGAATATTAAGGCCTGTATTTTCAAGAGTGACTAGTGATTTTGAGTGGCTCATTTTTTTGAGAGACTGTCCAATTCAAAAAGCAACAGAGGGGCCTGTGGCACCTTTAAGACTAACAGAAGTATTGGAGCATAAGCTTTCGTGGGTGAATGCCCACTTCATCAGACGCAAGACCAATTCAAGTTACCCTAAAGGCAGCTGATTTTCAGAAGTGATGAGAACCTGCTCTCTAAAAATCAGGCTCCTTTAAGGTGTCATGTCGGATACCCAAATCCAGAGGCATCCAAAATAACCAAAAATTAGAACTAAATTCACTTATGGAAGCAAAAACTCAGTCTAGAAAAATAGTATTCTGTACATAAGAAAGTAAGAAATGCTTCTAGCATTATGAGGCATAAACAGAGACCCAGGAAAGTGAGATCTTATGATCCCCTTTAATGTTCATGTAAAATTTTGGGGAGTTTTTTTGTAGCTTCCTTGGAAATATTTAAAAATGTTTGTTTGGACAACTCACACACCTTTTAGCTTACCGGCCTGTAATTTCCGGAATCACCTCTGGAGCCCTTTTTAAAAATTGGCATCACATTAGCTATCCTCCAGTCATTTGGTACAGAAGCTGATTTAAACGACAGTTAATAGTCCTGCAATTTCACATTTGAGTTCCTTCAGAACTCTTGGGTGAATACCATCTGGTCCTGGTGATTTATTACTGTTTAGTTCAGAGGTGGCCAACTTGAGCCTGAGAAGGAGCCAGAATTTACCAATGTACATTGCCAAAGAGCCATAGTAATAAGTCAGCAGCCCCCCATCAGCTCCTTCCCCCCGCCACTTCCCAGCGCCTCCTACCTACCGGCAGCCTCGACAATCAGCGCCTCCCCCTCCCTCCCCGCACCTCCCAATCAGCTGTTTCGTGGCTCTGGGGGGAAGGAGCAAGGGCACGGCAGGCTCAGAGGAGGGGGTGGGAATTAGATTAATGAAGAAGTGGCATTTTCTTTCAAGGATGCTACCACAGTATATATTTTACCTACATTACATAACTAAGGTTTTATATATGTACACAGACAACACACACATGCCCCCATCCCCCACTCTACACATGGTAGATAAGTGGAGTCTTTGGGCTTGTCTAGAAGGAGAAACTATTGCAAAACAAGCTAGGGTCTGAAAATAAAGCACAATAGCTATTCCACACTCTCTCCCCATGTGGATACACTTATTCCACACTAAAGCCTTGTGAACACTGGCAGTGGCAAGTAGGGTACACGTAGCTACAAGCTACAGTGAAAAGCAGGCTGAATCCATGCTATGGTGGGTAGCTACATGTGGCAGTGAAAGGCTCCAGCAGGTGGGATGGCAGTGGGGAAAGGCTTAGGCAATTTCCTGCTACTGGAGCCTTTTCCCGCTGCCTACCCCTGCAAGAGTCCTTCCCCACTGCCAGAGCCTTTCCCTGCAACAGGGAAAGGCTCCGGCAGTGGACAGATGGTGGAAGTTTTCCCTGCTGTCAGAGCCTGGAAAGCCTCCAGCAGTTGGGAGCTGCTGGAGCCGTTCCCTGCTGCCTCTCCCGTGCCAGAGATTTTCCCATGGTAGGAAAAGGCTGCAAGCAGTCGGACACTACACTGCTAAACACAGCAGTGTAGATGGGGGAGGCACTGCTTGGGCATATAGAAAACGGTGTAGGGTACACACCCCTAAGGTTCTGGTGTGTCTACTCTACTTGCCTAATCCATGCCTCACCATCTACAGTGCTATTTAGACCCATGCTGGGGGGCGGGGGGGAGGGGAGGCATGCAGTATATGTACTCTACATGCTACTGTAAGTGTACAAATAGCCTAAGAGTGTCTTTATACTGTTTAGCTTAATCCACTTTGGAAAAGAGCCTTAATGAGTTTATAAATGACCAAATTAATGGCTTGTCTACTTGGGAAATGGCTCAGAATAGCTATTGTAGAATTGTTATTCCACAATAGATTCCCATGTGGACACGTTAATTCCATACAATGTAGTTTAATCCACTTAATCTCGAATGTCCCCATGGGGCACTATTCTACAATAGCTATTCCGGGCCATTTCCCCTTGTAGACAAGCTCTTAATTTGGCTATTTATACTCTCACGAAGGCCCTCTTCAAACCCCTTGGAAGTTTCCCTCTCCTTTCTTACTACCATAGTCACATTCTTGCCTCTAAAAGCCAAGTGAGCAGAGACAGCCAACTAACAGATGAAACAAAAGTGGCTTTTTAGTTTACCATGTCTCTCCAGGCTATTTAAAAAATGTGATAATCTTTATTCTGGCAATTGTATTTATATTAATTTTATCTTTCCTACCCCACCCACTCAGAATTCTCCTCTTTATGGCTGCAGAAGAACATGCTGCCCCCTGCTGCTGACATGCCTGAAGTGTGGGAGGCAACAATAGCTGATTAAGACAGACTTTTATTAAAAGTCACTCTCCTCCTAAAGAGATCTGCCAGTGTGAGGGCCAAGGACACATATCCACTGCTTCCCAAAGAAATGTGCCAGCCTGAGGGGTGGGGAGGAAGTTACATAACCACTCTTCACAGTATTGCCAACCTCAGCATTCAAAAATCATTAGTCAGGCCCTGCAAAATCATGAGATTTTTAAACAACTATCAGAGCTTGTCTGGAATGTTTTTGATGGTACAGTTTTCCAGTGGAAACACAATTTTGTCAAAATGTAAATATTTTGAGGGAACTTGTCAATTTTCACAAAATTTCAGAGGGAATAAAGTCTAAATAAATTGTTTCGACTATTTCATTTTATTTGTTTTGATTTTTATATTACTATAAATGTTTTATATACAAATATTTTATATTTTACATTATAAAGTTTTGACATTATCAAAGAAAATATTTTGATGGGTCTGAATTGAAATTTTTCAGAATTTCTGTTCTGCAGGAAAGTTTTGCCTTGCGTTCTGATTCAGAAAAAAAAGCAAAATTTAGAAATGTCAGAATTTCTTGTGGAACAGAAATTCTGTTTTCCAACCAGCAATAAAAATAATAAATTTGGGGTTCTTTTGGGTTTCTGAACCTTCAGGCTGCAGTCGCTTCATGTTTTTAAGCTTTTCTTTGCAACCATAAGGGTTATAAACTTACTTAAAAAGCAGAAAGCAATTGGAGATTCTCATGCAATCTCCTGATTTCAGGAACTGGGGTTGTAAGAAATATACCAACCATTACAAGACTCATGATAAAATTACGATAGCTGACAGCACTTTCTTCAGCCTTGTGAATGAGCTTAGATGCCTCAGTGGTGGATGCACTATAAGAACCCAAACAGAAAGATAACTGCATGTGTGGGTCGTGGTAGTGATAGTAAGGGGTGTGGAATGGAAGGAGAAGAGACCTGTAGTGTGTAGAGAAGCAGTGGTCCTCTGCCACCATCACCTCCTAGCTTCCGAGCCCCCCCCCAAAATCTCTTGGATGATGGCAGTTGCCACTGGAGAGAGAAACGCACTGAATTTAGACCACTTTAACTCTCACCATCTACCCCAGGAACATGCAAAAATCTTTGCTCATAGCGAGGAAAGATGTAGTAGGGTGAAATAGCTTAAAAACTATCTTCCTTCTCCGTTCCCATGCAATTACACTATGTGGGCAATCCTCAAACACAGCATTACTGTGTCCTTGCAGAAAAGGGAAGTGAAGATGAGACACACTTCCAGTTATCATCCTGAACAAATATTAATGCTGCATTTTCTTTCTTTAAGACTCCCAAACATGCATTTCTTAATTTTTTCTTTGCTGGTATGGAAAATGCAGCTTTATACATGGATCTTTTAAATAATTAACTATATTTAATGGCCACAACTTAGAATATTTATAACAAGATCTCTTGCTAGCCAGGCATTTTATATGTTGGAGGATCATTGGGTTGACACTAGTATGACATTTGTACCTATTAAGAATAGCCCTTTGTATGTTATATGAACTGATATAACACACAAAAAATTGAAATATTTTAAAATGGATATTTTAAAGTAAATTATTATGAAGACCGTTCCCTACTTAGACTATTCTTTATGCTGTGCAAGTACTTTATTATATGCTGTGAAAAATTAAAGTTTGCAAAAATGATGTGCACTCTCATTTCTGCTCCTCTTATGTGCTGCAACTCCAAATGCAACAGCTGCACAATATCAACAGGAGTACATTTAAAAATATGTACACAATCTATACAAGATGTACCTGAATCACAAGCAGCGGCCCCTCTTTCTTTTAAATCTTCTGCTCCCATTAATTGTACAAAACGATTGCCTCCCAAGGACTTTTCAGTAGTTACTAGCTGTAAAACAGGACAGCACTTACTGTAACTGTTGATTTTAAACTCAAACACTGCAATTACTTGAGAAGTACACTCTGTACAAAATTTCCAAACCAACTCTATAAAAAGTATGTCAAAGCACACTAAAAAATACCCTTACTCATATTTTCAATTGGTAAAGCAGCATCAAGGAAAACAAATTCTTACCTTGTGTTTGGATACAAGTGGCCTGCAGCAATAAAGAAAGGAAGAATAAATTACCACTTTCAGGAACAATATTCTTCACAACAAATGTCACCATAACTACTGCACAAATCATACTAGTCCCTTCCGTACTCTAATATTAGCACAGAACATTTCCAACACTGAAACACTATCAGTGCACTAGCATAGTTTAAAGTACAGAGCTCCACCATATGTTAACATCATTAGAAAGCCAATTATTATGGACGTTGCTGCATGTAATTGAGAAGGCAGTTAAAAAGGTAAAAACAACACATCAGAAATGTTCAAAACTTCTTGTAAACTTGTTTTGAAAGGGACACAACAACTTCAAAAATCATACTTCTGTCTGCAAATGTTTTACCAACTAGCATTAAAAGTAACATTTGCTGTAACTGAAAGAGATTTGGAGAAAATATTACTCCCTCTCTCCCCCAGTTTATTCTGGTTCAGATTTTTGGAAGAACTGTGCACCCATCACTCCCTCTGAAATCAATGGGACCCATAGCTGGATCAACACCACTGAAAATCAGGCTATGTATTCTACAGCTCTAGATACACAATTAGCTCCATGGTTTATCCTGTATAGTCGGTCCTGTCACACAGCAATAAGGGAGAGAGAATTTGTTTTAAAAATTATTATAAAAAACCCCACAACACTTGGCAAGAGGTTTCAGGGGCAAATAGAAACAATGTTTAACACATTTTTTAAAAAGTGTTTAGATTTTAATTTGACAATACCCCTTAATGTATACAAACTTTTTTTTGCAAAGGCAAAGCAGAAACAGCCCAAAATAGTCTCTTAAAGAAAAAGAAAAAAAGTGTCCAGTATGAGCATTTGGATTATAAAATAAATTACTGAGAAAAAAAAAATCACATCTATGCTCTCAAATAGAAAAACACATAGCTCAAATATTCAAAGAGCTCCATCTTTAAAAAAAATGGAAAAGTGATTTTGATTATTGTCACCAGGTAAATCTAACTTCAATCTTTAGAAAAAATATGGAACAATTATTGAAAGAATCGATAAACATCTAGAGAATACTGATAACAGGAATGATGACATGTATATTTAAAGAACAAGTTATGCCAAATAAACATGGCCACTAATTTTGATCACATTACATAATTATTGGAGGAAGGGAACATAGTAGATGTAATGTATCTGAATTTTAGTTAATAAAGTGAGGACGCATGGAACAAATTTCAAGGAGAACAGAGTTATTTACAATAAGACTACCATTCTGTGCCTACAGAAATGCTGCTAGATGCTGTGTAGATATGAAATACGTAAACTGTATGGGCCAAATCTCCATCCTAGTGCATATCCCAAGACTGCATGTAATGAGGCTGTATATTAGGGAACCTGACATGCACTTGGGCAAAGGAATCCTTCATTATCAGTCAGAGAGCAGTAGCAGGCTGCTACTGCAGCCGCAGGGCTAAAGTTGCCTCTGTTATACTAGCAGGGTTTCAGGTTTATGCTTTCCAATGGCTCCATATCAAATGTGCTCAGATTATAAGTAAAGAAATTATTTTTTCCTGACTGCCAGCCAGGCAACCTAATCTAGGCTTTGACAGTCAAGCTATTTTTTATTTTCTTCTTATGCATCACCACCTGTGATAAAGTTTCTGCAAACCAAATTATGCCCTCATTGACACATTGATGAGAGCAAGCTGGCTGAAGTTATAGCCAGACAAAAATGGAAGGGACGGTAGAAGGCTGGAGAACACAAATGGAAAATATGGCAAAAACTGTATCTGTCCCTCTGATTAAGCACATCTCTCTGCCATGTGCAGTCATTTTTACAACCTTGGAATCTGGTTAGATTTTCAGTTACTACTGAATGATCACCATTCAGTGATAGCGACAATGGCTCTCTTCTTTTGCAATTGCCCAGGACACTGTAATCTTTTCTTACCAAAGCAAATCTCAATGCAGTGATTCATGACTGTCACCTCAAGGCTAGACTACTGCAATATGCTCCATTTGGGGCTCTACCTTAAGTCCATCTGACAAGTGCAGAATGCCGCTCGTTAAGTGGAGGATCCTGTTTCAGTGACACAACAGCCACCCTCCGGATCTGCACTGGTTGCCTGTGGGTTTCTGGGTGGAGTTTTAGTGCTTTATTGGTTAATACCAACACGTTAATGGCCTTGGACCTGCTTGAGAGTTCATTTCTCTCTCTTTGTGCCACACTATCACAGTTGAGATCCATACAGCTGCCTGCATTGTAGCTCTCGCAGGCTATGTCTACACTACCCCGGTAAGTCGACCTGATTTATGCTACTCCAGCTACGTGAATAATGCAGCTGGTGTAGATGTAGCTTAGATCGACTTATTGTGGTGTCTGCACTGCACTGGGTCGACAGGAGACGCTCTCCCATTGACTTACCTTACTCCTCTCGTTCCCGGTGGAGTACCGGAGTCAACCGAGAGTGATCTGCCGTTGATTTAGCGGATCTTCACTACACCCGCTAAATCGACCCCCGGTGCATCGATTGCAGCAGCATCAATCCCACGGTAGAGTAGACATAGCCTCAGCATAATAGAAAGGGGACTTTTTGTCAAGGTATACTCTGTGAGAGCCTCTTTCCTTCAGAACGGGATCCCGCCAATCCAGAACAGTCCCAAGTCTGCTGACCTTCAGGTCATGGTGCCTCTTGTTATTTTATAATGTTATATAAATATATTAGTAAGGCTTCTGACACAGTCCCGCATGACGTTCTCATAAGCAAACTAGGGAACTGCAGTCCACCTGAAATTACTAGGTGGGTGCATAACCGGTTGAAAGACCATACTGAAAACAGTAGTTATCAAACTACAACGAGGACTGTGATCAATTGTTCTCCACGTCCACTGAAGGTAGGACAAGAAGTAATGGCCTTAATCTGCAGCAAGGGAGATTTAGGTTGGATACTAGGAAAAACTTTCTAACTAGAAGAGTGGTGAAAAACTGGAATAAGGTTTCCAAGGGAGGTTGTAGAATCCCCACTGGAGGTTTTTATAAACAGGTTGGACAAACACTTGTCAGGTATAGTCGGGGCTGGACTTGATGGCTTCTCGATGTCCCTTTGAGCCCTACATTTCTATGACACTACGATAAATAAAGAAAGAAAGAAACTAAGCACTATTATTATTAATATAATTGATTTAGGTGAAGAGAGTCCCTGCGGCGCATTCCTTCCCAATGGCACTAGAGAAACTCAAAAATATGAGAGCAGCTCCTCTGCTATATAGAAAGAAACTACTTAACTCTCATGCCTAAACACCTTGGCTTTAAGGGACCCAATTGTGAGCCACTGATTGATCTGACTGTAATCTCTTCTGAATGACTTCCTAAACGCAAGCGGTGGCAGGAATTATGCCATGGTTAAAGTGCAAGCAAGTCACAAGCATGCTTCATCAGCCTTCTAGTACTGCAGGCACCAGACTTTGAACTTTAAACTTTTAAAGTGCTCCTCATTGATGATTTTTACGTTTGAATTAATTGTGTTTGTGTCTTGCCAGAACATGATCAGATAACTACATCAGACTGTAGAATCTGGTATCTCTACAGTACACAGTTTTCATCTGCTGTTTTGTTTCAAGTTGAATAGTAACTCTCTTAGCACACACTACATCATATCACACTTTACATGAGGATTGCCACCCCAGTATGACTGATCATAACTGTATATTTGGGGACTAAAGGACAATTTTGTCCAACTGAAGCCCTCACCAGTTCAGCAAAAGAAGGCAGCAATGTGATCAAAGTATAAACTCTTCAACTGCCCAGACTATAAAAGTAATACCGGGAGTCTGTAGAAATTCTTTTAACAGTATTAATCCAGTTTGAGAAGTCACTGTAGAATAAAGTATTCTTACTACAGATCAAAACAAATGTTTCCTATCAAGAACAGCATCTGCCTTGTAGCTGTGAATTGATTTTGATCCATTTTAATCAACTGGTACAATTTTTATTTTGGGGGGTAGCTGAATCCATTTCAAACATCTGCCATACAAATAACAAGGAAGTACACTTTCACTTGCTAAAGTAATAAGGTTTGCTATACTTACTCTTGATGTGATGTACAAAGTTTAGCAAGATTTTCTAACTCTTCATTGTTAAGTCCTTTAGCTGAATTCCTCAGAGTCGTAACTGTACTGGGCACTGCTGTTTTCCACTTTGTTTCTAAATTAAACCACAAATAGTTTTAGCCACACTGCTAAAAAATTAGTATTTATTTAGCCATAAAAACGTGGAAGCCAAAGAGACTAGTATATGGCAAAATATGTACAAGTCCAATTTTGTTTTTTATCAATAAAACAAATCTGTTCTGTGTACACTGTACAATTATGAAGAAGACTCTCGATAAAAAGCATATCATCATGACACAATAAGTTGTGCTGCATTCAAGAAACGAAACAAATGTCACGCTAGTTTCACCCAAGAATATATGAATCAACCATGGTAGAAAATTCAAAGTATAGAAACTGATCAAGATAAAGAATGATCCCCGAAGCATGCCTTTTCTTCACAAAGACGACAGGAGAAAAATCTCAGGAAAGAATAATTTTCTCACGACAGGCTCTTAAAGGTTCTGGTGAAAAAGCTACTTTTGTTTTTGCAACACAGTATCGACTGGAAAAATATTTGTTCTATTATTTAGAAAGAACAAGTTCCATAAGCTGTATCTAAAAGATAACTCTCCTCTCCACCACATTAGAACACACTGTACTTACCCCACTGCTCCTGAATGGAAGAAAGATTTGCAAGTAGCTGCTCATGATATAGTCGTTCAAGCTGAATGAACTTCATTGCCTTCTCATCTGAATAGAAGGTTAAAGAGAAATACAGATACAGACAGACATATTGGGATATACTTAAATTTGATACCACGTTCAAAAGGACATAGTCTAGTTCTATGACCGAAACCTGATACACAAGTACCAAAATGGATGTGAGTGGTTATATGGCCAGCACTCTAATAGACTTGAATAAATTATTAAACTAAACTAAATATAAACTGAAAAAAAGAGTTGAAAAAAAAAATTCCTAAAAGCAGCATGGAAGATTCTTTTATTACATTATCATCTCTTTCCACAAACGTTGACTCCGAGAAAGTATATTTGATCAACTATGAGTTTTTAAGTGCAGGTACATTATACATTTTTGTGTTAACTAATTGACTTTAAAAAAAATTCACCGCAAAAGCAAAGACAAGCATTACTACAGTCTAAGACAGAACCACCCACATCCGAAGACATCAAGTGCATTTTGTGTCTGTCTAGACTGTAAGCTTCTTGGGACAGAGACTATCTTCCTCTGTATTTTGAACAGCACTAAGCATACTGTAGAAGCTTAACCAATAATCATAGAATATCAGGGTTGGATATCAGGAGGTCATCTAGTCCAACCCCCTGTTCAAAGCAGGACCACTCCCCAGACAGATATTTACCCCAGTTCTTTAAATGGCCCCCTCAAGGATTGATCTCACAACCTTGAGTGTAGCAGGCCAATGCTCAAACCACTGAGTTATCCCCCCCAAAACACAGGGTATAACTTTAAAGGACTTCAAGCATTTTGATTTCCCCTTCTTAGGACAAGAACTTCTAATACTTTATTTGCACAGCTGCAGTAAGGTATGAACAGCCACCCGCAAAAGTTACTCCTCAGACAATCTATTTTTGAAGTATGAAGGTGTCTCATTTTTTGTAAAATATTTTGAGATTATGCTTACCATTCCCCCTTTACCAACAATCTCTTCCCCCCCTCTGCAGGGCCTTCATTGTGTCTACAAGTGTGTTCTAAAAGCTGTATACTTTCCTACTAATTCTACTCCTGCCAAGCAGTATAAAGTTAGCTAATAATCCTTCTATTTTAAACCACCTCTTGCCAGGTGTTTACACATTCAACTATTTCAAATTCCATTAGGCAATATACCGGAGATGAAAACAGAGTGAATCAGGTTCTGAGTATATAGACACAATATTTGCATTATTTATACCAAATAAAATAATATAGTAATCACCACAAAGACACAAGAAGTACTTGCTCTTTTTACTAACTATGGGATACAAATGTATAGCCTGACACATAAACAAACAGCACTAAAGGAGTTAATATTCCTTGCCTTGTATAAACTTATTAGAAAATAAAACACAGAACACAGCAATTGCCTTATTGGATCAGACCGATGGCACATTTAATTCAGTATCCTGTCTCCACTAATTGTTAATATCAGATTCTTCAGAGGAAAGTTTAAAATCCCTATCATGAATAACTATGCAAGAGTACATTTAGGGGTAAATTCTTTCCTAATTCCTCAGAGTTAATAGTTGCAAGAGCTGTTATCCCTTACAAATATTTATTATTAGCATAATTTTAGCTACCCTTACTATTGATATAAATGTCTAATCCTGTTTTGAATCATGCTAAATTCTTTGCCTCACTATCTCGTGGCATTGAGTTCCATAGGTTCACCAAGCATAGTGTTAAAAACATATTTCCTTTGACTAGCTTTAAAGGTATTGCTTTTCAATTAAAACCATTCTTCTAGTATGAAATATGAGCACCCATGTGGTTTTCTCTATACCGTACTTCTGTCATGTCTTCTCTAAACTAAATAGCCCTAATCTTTTAATCTCATTTACTGACAAATATTTGCCATGCCTCTACATTTTCATTTATTTTATTTCTTTCTTTCTTATCCCTTTTTCAGATGGGATGACCAAAAGTAATTCTCAAGGTGGTGACATACATTCTATTTTAAATATTAGCTTTACAATATTTTCAGAATTATTCTCTATCCCTTTCTAAATACACCTCTACCCCGATATAACGTGACCCGATATAATACGAATTCTGATATAACACGGTAAAGCAGTGCTCCGGGGGGGGCGGGGCTATGCACTCCGGCGGATCAAAGCAAGTTCGATATAACGTGATTTCACCTATAACGCGGTAAGATTTTTTGGCTCCTGAGGACAGCATTATATCGAGGTAGAGGTGTACAGTTTAATATCACTTGGGCTAGATTTTCATGTTTGGAAGAATACTTTCTGGGACTTGAATAAAATCTTGTATTTTGCTATTTAATCAGAATGATTTTTAAATTGCCTTTCCTTTCTGCTTTCTTTTTTGTTTAAGAATATGCATAAGTTCTATGAGTAATGTGATATACTTAAGTAGCCTCCACACCTATACTAAGGATTTATATTTCTTAACTTTCATCTTTAGGTTCTAAAGAGTTTCCAAGTTTTTTTGAAAAACCGTACTTCCTAAATTATAACATCACAGCATAAGGTTTTAGGATGATCAATCCCTCCTAGGATGAAATTATGTTAGATTATGTTATAGTCACTATGACTGGCTCAACTCCTGGAATCAAGTCCTGTGTATTATTTAGGAATAGGTCAAGAGTAACCTCTCCCCATGTGTGCCCCAGAACTAGCTGTTCCAAGAAGCAACTGTTTGTGGTTTGGGAAACTATTAAACTAAACTGTATCCCGATGTAACATTTGACCAATAAATGTTTGGGTCGTAAAAATCATACATTATTGTTTTGCTTTTGTTATCGCCAAGTTCTCCTTCAACTCTGTGAACTGGTTATCATTATCCTGATGCAGAGAACAGTAGAACACTACAGTAGTATTTTTATAAATTAGGATATACACCGATATAATGCTGGCCTCGGGAGCCAAAAAATCTTACCGCGTTATAGGTGAAACCGCGTTATATCAAACTTGCTTTGATCCACCTGAGTGCACAGCCCCGCCCCCCCGAGCACTACTTTACCGCGTTATATCCAAATTCATGTTATATCGGGTCGCGTTATATCGGGGTAGAGGTGTATATCCTATTCGGCTAAGGCATATTTCTTAATGCCTAATACTCAGAAGAGGGTTTCTCATGTAAAACAGTTGATTTCTTTGAAGCACACAATTGTTTTGCTTATGTCTTTGTTTCTGTGCAGGCATTACCAATTATATCAGTACAGCTTTGGGAAGGGGGATTTATTTCTTTACTTGTACTCCAGCTAGCTTGCTAAGAAAACACAGCAGAAAGCACATATTGTAGGCTTACTCATGTATAAAACATGGCATGTTCACCTTTTCCTGACCCTGATCCACAGCCTGTTAACCATCAAAGTCTTTTTCCTTTCAAATTTTGATTATGATGCCACTTTAGTTTTTTACAAAATAGAGCATTGTTAATTTTGATCAATGAAAGGATACATTCCTCCTCCTGAAAATAGGCCTCAGCTATCTGTAAAGGAAAAAGAAAAAGAAAATAATGTTTAACATCATGATTCTCTGATTCTTTATTATAGTCATGCATGTATAATATTATCTTAATTTTTAAGAGTTCATATTTCATTTGTATAAATTTGCTCCATGTTAAAACTAGACATAAAAATTCTTATTCCAGGAAAGGTTTTTTAAAAGGAAAATCAAATAATTTTAAAAACAAAAAACCCCACCCACTATATTCATTTTAAGACAAATAGATATCTTTTAAAAGTTACACTTTCCAGATGAATATTTGGTCTTTGAGATTACGTGAGTAAATTGACAAGACCATACAAGTAGCAAATATAACGCCTTTTTCTTATATTCACGGAAACTGATAAGCCCAAATGTTACTTGGGTCCTAGATCTGTTAAACCAATAGGCTTTTATGCTTAAGTGATTATACAACAAAGAGCTTTATTAAGGCAGTCTAGATGGTGCCCATTTTTACTTACATGCAGGGGATGAGAGTATGAATTCTCTTATCAGATTTTACTTCCTCAGGTCTGCAGGAAGTAAAATCATTGAGGAGAGGGAATTCTTGAGTAATGCTACAGCACAGTCTGCTAAAAGGTGAAATGGGGAACACTCTTTCTGAAGGGCCAGTGACCTCACTTATCAGGCAAGAGCAATCTTTGGACAGAGAACTTTAAAAGGTGTGTGTGGGGGGGGGAATGCAGACTGTCACAGACCACAGATATAACTACTCGCCTCTTTATGTCCCTTTCACAGCACTGCGAACTCCAAGCATTTGAAAATCATGAGTTGGGCCTCAAAAAAATCTCAAGATTTAAAAAACAAAAGGTCTTTTTTATTTGTCTTCTAGTTTTTGAGTTTATAGATTACAGTTTGGTTACATTTTCAAGCTTTTTTCTACAACTACACAGGCCAGAAACTTTTTTTTTTTTTTTTAAATGAAAGCTGAAATTGTCATGTAAATCACAGGATTTCAGAACCTGGGGCTTTAAGAAAAGTATCAACTACTGTCAGACTTGTGATAAAATTGTTTTCTGTACAATTGCAGGTACCACGTACTTTCACTTCAGGTTCTCTCTCCCAGCCTCTTAGCTAGGCTGCTCCTCTGCATCAGTCTACAAGGTGGAAGAGCATCTAGCCATCTTTCCTCAATTCACTAAGCCCAGGGTCTTGATAGCCAAAAAACCCTTCAACATGACAGCAGGCACAAAATGAAGCCAGATGGCAGCTCTATGACCTGCATTATAGATTTTATGAGGTAGAACCAACTTAAGGCTTTTCCCCTTTTAATGACATTGCTGTAACAGAATGGGTTAAACATGACCTTTAAGTGACAGCTCTGCCAAAGGAAAACAATGAGAAACACAGAGAGACAGCATTTAAAGACTGTTCTACCAGATCTAGGCTGACCTAACCCATGTGTGTCATAACAAACAAAAAGCTATCCGGCAGATAGATACAGGAGGCTAGTGAACTTTCCCTGTTCCATATAGAATCTATAGTACCATTTCAGTTTAATTTGGAAATCAAAACATAGCCAAGGACAGGTGCAGGTAAAAATTATGTAAGGAAGGAAGTCTCATTATTTGAAGTAATATTTCAGAAGATCATATAAAAATGTTTAAGACAGGTTAGAATAGTCTGTTGGAGAGACATGGGCTCAAAATAAGCGGAGGAAAAACAGAGTATATAGTATGTAATTTCAATAATGTGAACAATGAAGAACTATCCTTGAAACTAGAGGGAGAGACAATACTGAAAATACAAAGTTTCAAGTATCTGGTTTCCAGAATCAAGGAAAATGTGGAAATGGAGGATGAAATGAGAGCTACAATAATAAAAGCGTGGCTCAAATGGGGAGAGATAAGTGGTGTAGTATGTGACAGGAAGATACCAGTAAGATTAAAAGGGAAAGTCTATAAAACCATGGTCCGTTTGGTTTTACTGTCTGGTGCTAAGTGTTAGGCAACAAAGAAGAAACATGAGCAAATAATCTTTTCCACAGAAATGCAACTGTTGATGTCGATGAATGGCATAAGTAAGAAAGACCACATGAGGAATGTGTATGTTAGAGATATACTCAAATTAACACCCATAAACAAAAAATGAGGGAGTGCAGGCTCAGATGGTTTGGTCATGTAAAGCACGGTACTGAGACAAAGTCCACCAAGAAAAAAAAGACTGATAAGTCAACCCAAGAAGGAGTGGGGGGATGTCATAAAGGAAGACAGGTCAGTATATAATATGATAGAGGATATGGCATTGAACAGAGTACTTTGGAGGGAGAGGACTCATAGAGCAGACCACATTTCATGGGATTAATGCAAGAAAGAAGAAAAAGAAGAGGTTAGATTAACCTCTAATCCTTGAAACTCAACCAGCCTATAACCTGAGGCTAAATACCAGAGTGATGGCCATCATCTCGGCCAATACACTGGGGACTAAAGTGGAGATTTCCAGAGCTAAAAGCATGAGGTGCTATAGCTACAGCTAAAGAGCTAAGACTTCCCAGCTGGGGGCACAAACAACGCATATCTTCTGTAGTTTGACACAGAAGGGGATCTATAATACTCACCAGTGAGTTACCATGAGAAACTTTCCATATCAAAACATGGACATGGAAATAAATAAAACCAAGATACAGTATCAATATAGTGTTCACAAAACTGAGTAATTTTTTAAATGCAGAGTTCACTAAAATGGGTATGTTACTGATTATGGACTTTCAATTGGTACAGGAAAACCAGAAGTGCAAGTATTTAGCAGCAGCAGAACTCCCAGACAAATAGCCTGAATGGCATAGTAGGATAGGTGTAGAACATAGCAAGTATTTCTGTGTTCACCAAGTAAAGGGATCCATTTGTTTGGTATTACCAAGAGGACTAATCTCTTGCATTTAAAATTGTAGAGATGCCATTCTGTTACAGTCTATGTAACTAGCCAGGAGGACTCAAGGCATCTCCTCAAATACACCAAACTATTAGATTTCTCAGAGGATGGGTGTATTTCCAGGCTGGGGCTGAGAGAGATGTTCTGGTTCTGAGCTGGTGGTTTGGAGTTTTATGGAGATGACCAGAGCTAATTCCAACAGCAATGGAAACTAGACTAATGGAATCAGATGGTGCAGAAAAGCCAACATTTATTCACTGAAATGTGCCTTTCCTTCCCATGCTCCCTCATTGCAAACACAGCTTCTCAGTTTGAGACAGTAAGGTATTAACTGTACTTGTGAGAGACAGGCAAAGTGTGCACAAGACCTGTGCAAAATTTCCTGTAGAGCTCTGGAATAAAAAGGAGTTTTGTTTAACAAGGTGAAGCATATACAGCTCAGAAATAAAAACATCACTTAGCAATTATACAGAACTTTACAATTTCAAAAGCCTTAATCTTCAAATACATTGAGGGTTTGCATTATTCCTATTTGACAACCGGCATAGTATGGCTAAGGCAAAAATTTTAAGAAGAGCCCACATGTTGTTGATGCTTCGACATTTGAGCGCCCAATTTGAGAAATGCAGCATCTGATATGCAATTGACTTCTACTGGAGCAATGGGTGATTATTACCTCTGAACATTTCGGAGTGTCTCAATTAGTGGGCGCGGTCAAAAATGTGCTTGAATTGCTTGCCCAAGGTACAAAGCAAGTCAGTGGCAGAGCTTGGGTTACAAATTGGGTGTTCCTGGTGCTCAGTCCTACTAGACTATTTCGAGCCAACATCTCCAAAGGGGAATTGACAGATGAATTCTAAGACTCATATTTTTGTATATCCTGGCTGCTGCCTGGAATGGTAGTTCCAGAAATTCCTGGAACAACTCAAGGAGCGTTTATATTTTTTGTCTTGTAATGACAGAAACAAAAATTATGTGCACGCTCCTAGAAATCTGAAAAGCATGTGCTGCGGTTAAACATCAAAGGATAATTTTCTACTTAATTAAACTTAATCCTTATGTGACAAACTGGGACTGTTCTTACTGTGGTCTTTGAATGCTGACAGGGGAGTGTGGCTAGGATGCTCTGCATTGGGGGATGGGAGACTGGCCGAGGGAGGATACCTGAGCATGTAACATGAGAACCCAGGAAGGGGTTAGAGGCCAGGTGGCACCTTTGCCCGGGAAACTGAACAAAGGCTAGAGAAAGAGTTCAGAGCTGGCTGGTGACATGGCTGGGAGGCAGATGGGGCTCTGACCTCCCAAGGGGGCTGTGGTGCCCTGGGACCCCAAGATGGACCTAACTGAGGGGGTCCTGTTGTCTGTGCCTGCAAGACCTGTCTTGGACTGTATTCCTGTCGTCTAAATAAACCTTCTGCTTTACTGGCTGGCTGAGAGTCATAGTGAATCGCAGGAAGCCGGGGGTGCAGGGCCTTGTGTCCCCCCACACTCCATGACACCTTATTACACGCTCCAGTATACTGATGCCTGGAAAACAATTATTGTGAGCTTTTTATTATACCATTCTGAATTTTAATGCTGTAGTGATCCTTTAATACAGCAGTTGGTTTTAAATTGCACTTGTTCATATGAAATAAAAAGTGATTAAAATTAATTCTATACTGGATGAACAGTTGTGAGACGTCAAGGCTCATCATATTAGAAAATGATAGAAACACACTACATATACAAGTTATTGGCAAGCTATGTTAGTAAATCTCAATCAGGCCCTTCATGACAGATTAATCCATTCCACAGAAGATGATACTCTAATTAGTGCTCATTTCACAAGAAAATAACAAGCTTTGTTCTCCAACAATTTCATTTTTTCCAGCTTAATAAAAATATACTATGGCCAACATAGGGCTTGTTTCATTTTTCTCAGGAAGGAAGGTTGATCTTGTGGTAAGAACACATGGCTGGGAGTCAGGAAACAGATTCTATTCTCAGTTCTGCCAGAGGCTTCCTGCATGACTTTGAAAGAATCTGCCTCTTTGTACCTCAGTTGCCTCATGTGTAGAACAACTAGAATTTACCTGCTTCCCATACTCACAGAGGAGTTGTGAGGATAAATTCATTAATATATGTAAAATACTTTGAAATCTCTGCACTATTTACGATGCCTACTTTATATGGTGTTGATATTCACGAGCCAGCACAAAACATAGACTCTGTTTCAGGCAAGAGACTAAATTAGTGCTAACAAAGTTTCACATACATAATTAATGCAAGGAAACAGAAACTTTTCACTAAAGCACCATTTTTAAAAAATAGAAAAGTCCACTGCTAATGTAAACTGCCAGTAAAATATTTATTTTTTAATATACAATATATTTATGGAATCTGACGCCTATTTTATTTATTACTCATTTTGGTCATTTATATCACTGACAACAAGAGGCAATGCAGCAGCAAAGGAACCACTATGCTGCAGAAATCAGCTGAAGAACAGTTTCAAATGAGAACACAGATACTCAGTTTTCAACAATGATGGCAAAAGAATAAGTCCATCAAGTAGCATTGTCAGACACCATAAGAAAAAGGAAGCTAAAGTGATCCCCTCAAAATACATCCTTCTGGTCAATATTTAGAGCCATCATTCAGCAAAACAACACTGTTGAACTGTGTATTATAGTGCAAAAGATCCTAGCCACATATCTATGCTACATTATCGTCACACTCCCAGTCACCCTTTGCAGGGGAGCAAAGCACTAGCCCGTTGAACATAAGAATGGCCATACTGGGTCAGACCAAAGGTCCATCCAGCCCAGTATCCTGTCTGCCGACAGTGGCCAATGGCAGGTGCTCCAGAGGGAGTGAACCTAACAGGTAATGATCAAGTGATCTCTCTCCTGCCATCCATCTCCACCCTCTGACAAACAGAGGCTAGGGACACCATTCCTTACCCATCCTGGCTAATAGCCATTAATGGACTTAACCTCCATGAATTTATATAGTTCTCTTTTAAACCCTACTATAGTCCTAGCCTTCACAACCTCCTCGGGCAAGGAGTTCCACAGGTTGACTGTGTGCTGTGTGAAGAACTTCCTTTTGTTTGTTTTAAACCTGCTGCCCATTAATTTCATTTGGTGGCCCCTAGTTCTTATATTATGGGAACGAGTAAATAACGTTTCCTTATTCACTTTCTCTACACCACTCATGATTGTATATACCTCTATCATATCCCCCATTAGTCTCCTCTTTCCAAGCTGAAAAGTCCTAGCCTCTTTAATCTCTCCTCATATGGGACCCATTCCAAACCCCTAATCATTTTAGTTGCCCTTTTCTGAACTTTTTCTAATGCCAGTATATCTTTTTTGAGATGGAGACCACATCTGTACACAGTATTCAAGATGTGGGTGTATCATGGATTTATATAAGGGCAATAAGCTATTCTCTGTCTTATTCTCTATCCCCTTTTTAATGATTTCTAACATCCTGTTTGCTTTTTTGACTGCCGATGCACACTGCATGGTCCTCTTCAGAGAACTATCCACGATGACTCCAAGATCTCTTTCCAGATTAGTTGGAGCTAAATTAGCCCCCATCATATTGTATGTATAGTTGAGGGTATTTTTTCCAATGTGCATTACTTTACATTTATCCACATTACATTTCATTTGTCATTTTGTTGCCCAATCACTTAGTTTTGTGAGATCTTTTTGAACTTCTTCAGTGTCTGCTTTGGTCTTAACTATCTTGAGCAGTTTAGTATCGTCTGCAAACTTTGCCACCTCACTGTTTACCTCTTTCACCAGATCATTTATGAATAAGTTGAATAGGATTGGTCCTAGGACTGACCCTTGGGGAACACCACTAGTTACCCGTCTCCATTCTGAAAATTTACCATTTATTCCTACCCTTTGTTCCCTGTCTTTTAACCAGTTCTCAATCCATGAAAGGATCTTCCCTCTTATCCCATGACAACTTAATTTATGTAAGAGCCTTTGGTGAGGGACCTTGTGAAAGGCTTTCTGGAAATCTAAGTACACTATGTCCACTGGATCCCCCTTGTCCACATGTTTGCTGACCCCTTCAAAGAACTCTAATAGATTAGTAAGACATGATTTCCCTTTACAGAAACCATGTTAACTTTTGCCCAACAATTTATGTTCTTCTATGTGTCTGACCATTTTATTCTTTACTATTGTTTCAACTAATTTGCCCAGTACTGACATTAGACTTACCGGTCTGTAATTGCCGGGATCACCTCTAGACCCCTTTTTAAATATTGGCATTACATTAGCTATCTTCCAGTCATTGGGTAAAGAAGCTGATTTAAAGGACCAGTTACAAACCATAGTCAATAGTTCTGCAATTTCACATTTGAGTTCTTTCAGAACTCTTGGGTGAATGCCATCTGGTCCCGGTGACTTGTTACTGTTAAGTTTATCAATTAATTCCAAAACGTCCTCTAATGACACTTCAATCTGTGACAATTCCTCAGATCTGTCACCTACGAAGGATGGCTCAGGTTTGGGAATCTCCCTAACATCCTCAGCCGTGAAGACTGAAGCAAAGAATTCATTTAGTTTCTCTGCAATTACTTTATCGTCTTTAAGTGCTCCTTTTTTATCTTGATCGTCCAGGGGCCCCACTGGTTGTTTAGCAGGCTTCCTGCTTCTGATGTACTTAAACATTTTGTTATTACCTTTTGAGTTTTTGGCGAGCTGTTCTTCAAACTCCTTTTGGGCTTTCATTACATTTTTACACTTAATTTGGCAGTGTTTATGCTCCTTTCTAATTACCTCACTAGGATTTGACGTCCACTTTTTAAAAGATGCCTTTTTATCCCTCATTGCTTCTTTTACATGGCAAAAATAAACAGCTGAACATTAATTCTCACTTATTTTTCAAATCCACAGCTATGCATCTTACAACACTGCCTATTCTCTTGGCCTGATGTAGAGCTAAGATAGTGATTGCACTATGACAGGTTACATGGAAGAAGAATCATCAGCACATATTAATGGGATAAAAACCACCTTCAACTGAGTAAGAGTGATCCTTACCATCCATACATTAAGTTAACGCTGGAAACAAAAGTCTGCAATAAGAGTATTTCCAGATTAAAATGCTATTTAGAGAACCAATCTATTATTACTTATACCAATATCTACAACCTTTAAGTGATTTTAAAGAGATGTGTCCCCCCTAAACTGTATGTATTCAACTCTGGGATAGGGCTGCCAACTTTCTAACTGCACAAAACCGAAACCCTTGCCCTGTCCCCAATCCCACTCCTTCTCCAAGGCCTCGCCCCCTCTCACTCCATCCCCCCCCCCACTCACTTTCACCAGGCTGGGACAGGGGCTTGGGGTGCAGGAAAGGATGAGGGCTCCGAGGTGGGGCCAGAAATGAGGGGTTCAGGGTGCAGGAGCGGGCTCAAGGCTGGGGTAGAGGGGAGGGCTCTGGATGGGGGGGTGGGCTCTGGGATGAGGCCAGGGATGCGGGAGGGAGTTTGGGTGCGGGAGGGAGCTCAGGACTGGGGAAGGAGGTTGGGGTACAGGAGGAGGTGTGGGGTGCAGGCTCCAGGAGGGGACTCAGGGCTGCGGCAGGGTGTTGGGGGAGTGAGGGTGGCGGTGAAGGGTGCAGGCTCTGGGAGGGAGTTAGGTGTGGGAGAGGCTTCCAACCTGGGGCAAGGGGTTGGGATGCAGGAAGGGGTGTGGAGTCTGGGAAGGAGTTAGGGTGCAGGAGGGGGTTCTGACCTGGGGCAGGGGTTCGGGCTCTAGCCAGAACCAGCTGGTCAGAAGCGCAGCGGGGCTAAGACAGGCTCCCTGCCTGCCCTGGCTCTGTTCGGCTCCCGGAAGCGGCCAGAATGTCCAGCTCCTAGGCGGAGGAGCCAGGGGGCTCTGTGTACTGCCCAGGCCCGCAGGCACCGCCCCCGCAGCTCCCAGCCAACGGGAGCTGCCGAGCCGGTGCTCAGGGCAAGGGAAGCGCGCAGAACCCCTGTGGCCGCCCCTGCACCTAGGAGCCGGCCATGCCGGCCACTTCTGGGAGCTGCACGGAGCCAGGGCAGGCAGGGAGCCTGCCTTTCTCCGCTGCACTGTCAACTGGACTTTTAGCGGCCCGATCAGCAGTGCTGACCAGAGCCACCAGGGTCCCTTTTCGACAGGGTGTTCTGGTCAAAAACTGGATGTCTAGCAACCCTACTCTGGGACCATATCTATAAAAAAGGGTGTGGTTTAACATAACTATACTAGGATTTTAACACAAGGCAATTTGCAGTTTTAACATGTACTAGATAGTGAAGGAAAACCTCCCCCTTAGGGTTTTCTTTAACCACAACACATCTTAAAACTACAAATTGACTTGTCTACAGTAGGACTTTAGCATGTGTTACCTAAAACATGTTAAAGTATTTTTTTTTCTAGAGAAGACAAGTTCTAGGACAAAAAAATAGTATAAAAATATAATCACATGTAACAACATGCTGATACACGGGATACCTGATGGAGACATAGAGGGAGTATCCTTGAGTCCATCTGCTCAAACTCTTCTCGAAGCATGGAAAAAAGGAACTGCAAAGTCTGTTTTTGTTGCTTTTGCTGATAGTTCACATTTGTCTCATCAGCATCTTCATCATGAACTGAGTCTGTAGCTTTAAGGAGAGCATTCTCTTTCTTGAGTGCTGTGGTGTCCACTGAAGGCACTTCTTTAAATGGAAACAAATACCTAGATTAGGATGCAAGTATTACTAGGAAACTGAAAACAAAGCTGCTGGTCTTGTTAAAGTCAGGTGTAACAGATGGACTGACACTGATGCAGGACTCTATCTGAGAAACACTAAGGGTACGTCTATACTTACTCGCTGGTTCGGCGGCAAGCAATCGATCTTCTGGGATCGATTTATCGCGTCTTGTCTAGACGCGATAAATCAATCCCGGAGGTGCTTGCCGTCGACGCCGGTAATCCTGCTCCGCGAGAGGAGTAGGCAGAGTCGATGGGGGAGCCTGCCTGCTGCGTGTGGACCCGCGGTAAGTACCTCTAAGTTCGAACTAAGATACTTCGACTTCAGCTACGTTATTCACGTAGCTGAAGTTGCGTATCTTAGTTCGAACTGGGGGCTTACTGTGGACCAGCGCTAACACACTTCATGCATTTTTTTATAGCTGTAAGTAAAGAGGTGCTGTGGTCCAATTAGGAAAAATATTGAACCAGTTAAAACTGTTCTGCATAATTCAGAAAGAGATTAGTGGCCTGGGTGACTTCATATAATGAAGGCTGTGACAATTTCTACAGTAATCCTGATTTTGATCCCTTTGAACATTTTTTAAAACTTCCTTTTGAAATGTATCAGGTGTGGCCTTGGGCCAAAGAGGCACTTTTGTTGCTGGAAGTTTGAGATTAATTAATTTTGGAGACATGGAACTTACAAGACTTCTAACTTTTTGGTAGGCTCATCGCTCAAAAATGGCTTAGTTTAAAAACTTCAAAGTTGTTTTGAACATTAGCCTTCATAAACAACAGGACTACTTTTACTATGGCTGAAGGCATTTCTCCCCCCTCCCCCATTTTAAAGGGCCCCTTCTGAAACTCTGGGAGCTATGTGAAGGACTCTGCAGATGTGACTTCCCTGAGAGGTTTTGGGAAAGTTAAGAGCAATATGTAATTGCAGAGCTTGTAAATTCAGTTTGATAAATAGCTATGATTATTTAAGCATTAAGAAGTTATTCACAGTGCATAAACAGCATTTATGAACTCTGCAGGTGCGATGGCAGGACTTGTAAGAGAGACAGATACGGTTCCCTCACACAAATTTCATCAGCACTGCATTTCACTTATGTTCAATTCCCTGCTAAACTAGGAAGGAAACAGAGCAGAGATCTCCTGGTTCCCTATTTTAATATCTCACCTCATCATTCACTGGACCTGGGCGTCTTTAGGTTCCACAGAAATCTTTAGGAATCTGGTATTCAGCAAGCTCAATTGTACATTTTTAATAGCTAAAAACTTTGTTTATGGCCCACTCGTTGAAATAAATTATATAAATAAATAAGCCAGCCAGGTGCAAATTTGAGTGTAGCTTAAGCCTTAGCAAGGCAACCAATTCCTCAGATATTCTAACCATGTTCTAAATTTGAAGTTTAAGTTCTGCAATTTTTGAGCTATTAAGTTTTTACAGTGTATGTGTCGAATTTAGTTTGGAAAAAAATATGAACAAGAGGATGTATTTTCTGTATAATTTATCAAATGCTCCCATGAGTAGGAAAGCTCATATGAACTGCACCAAGCGGTGTATTATCTCAAGTGTATCATGCAATGTCATTTTACAACATTTGGTTACAATTGTGCCAGGGTTAATCTTTTAAAAATGCTACAAAATAACTCCATAAGGATAATTCTAGAGTTCTTCCTTTGTAAATTTATGTTCCATTAGACCTCACTTTTAAGCAGCTGACACCTCACGAATCACCATTGCTATTGCACTGAAATTATGGAGGCTCATCAAATGCAATCTGACTATTAATACCCATCAGGATTTCAGTTCCCTCACTTATAAGTTGCATCATCTCCTTAATCAGTATATCCTGCTTAAACTCAGTATTGCTGAGCGACAATCCTCTGCCAACGGAATAGGAAGAGAACCTACAAGAGATTCTGGAGGCAAAGCACATGTCTGAGTTTGAAGATCTGCATTGGACGGGGCCAGCTCTGGCTTTTTTGCCGCCCCAAGCAAAAAACGCCGGGCCGGCCAGGGCAGCAAAGGCGGGGGGGGGAGAGAGAGGGGAGGAGGAAAACAAACCTGCCCCCGGCCGGAGCGGCAAAGGGGGGTGGGAAACAAACCTGCCTCCGGCCGGAGCGGCAGGGGGGGGGGAAACAAACTGGCCGGCCGGAGCAGTGAAGGAAAGAAAAAACAAAAAACCTGCGGGGCGGCGGAAGCGTGGGTGCAGGGGGACTCCCGGCCCTGCAGACCCCGGGCAGCGGAGTGCGCACCCCGGCTAGCGGGGGAGAGAGAGAAGGGGGGCCCCCAGGGCTTCCTTAAGTGGGGCGCTGCCACGCGGCCCCTCCGTGCGCACCGCCTGCCGGGAAGGCTCCGCGCCACTCCGGTCGGCAGGCAGGGAAGGACGCGGGCTGTCCTGCCGGGCTTGCTGCAGGGTGCTCCCGTCCTCCACGCTGCCGCCCCCTACAGGGCAGCGGGAGCAGCAAACCAAAAAGAAAAAATCTGGAGGGGCGGCCAAAGCGGTGAAGCGCAAAAAAAAAAGAAAAGAAAAGGATTAGATGGAATGCCGCCCCTTGGAATCTGCCGCCCCAAGCACAAGCTTGCTCCACTGGTGCCTGGAGCCAGCCCTGGCATTGGATAATTCATGCAAAAGTCTCTAATGCAGCAATCCTAGTGGTCACTTGTTTGCCATTCTAAGAGCCTCATTCCAGGGATAGTTTACTGTGAACATATACAAAAACATTACAATCAAATTTTTATAATATTTTGTGCTTCTAGAAGCAACGTTCAGAGACTCTTAAACCAGTGTACAAAAGGCAGATATGATTTCCATTTTACAACTGGGAAAACTCAGTCACACAACGAGAGACGAACTTCCCTAAAGTCATGCAGCACGTCAGTGGTAGAGTCCCAATGAAAACACAGGCGCCTTACTCCCACTGCACTGCTCTAAGCACCAGCCCAAGACGAGAGATGGATAGTGTGATGGTGGAAGTCAAATTTCAGTTTTCTTGGACAACATAATAGCAATGTTTAAAAATAACACACCCATTTGACTTGTCACCTTTGTTTTTAGGGAAATAGGAAGGGAGATTGACTCAGACCTGAACATCAGTGCTTTAGAAGAGGTTAGTTCTTTAAAAGCTTCCCCCCCAACCCGGGCTTGAAAACCTATTCCATACGTATGAGTCAAGATCAACTTGCCCGTGATTTCTTAACAGGAGGGGGGAAAAAAATGTACAACATGCTTCCTATGTCCTTTCCCCTTGACAACTCCCCTTTCAATTTTTATAGAGCCTTCTCTTCCTCTCTCCATGCTGTGTATCCACTTGGTAGCTTGGTTTCCTACTATGTTTCCACTGCTCTTATGTGTAGAGGGAAACTCAGGTAGTAGGAACAATGACAAAAATACAAAAAGCTAATTGGATTGTTTTCAGTGTGATAAAAAAGAAGAAGAAATTACATTTTATTCAAGCATTTCCCTCTATTTTTTGCAGCAGAACCAGAGCATGAAACTGACTAAAACAAGGGGCATAACTGGGGTGAAAAGTAAATTAAAATTTCAATTTTTGGTTTTCATTTTTCATAATCTAAGGTGTTATCAGTAAAAGACAAGGATTTTGTTTTCAAGCCTCTGATTTTTAAACCTGACAATGTTTCTAATCCTTTGTGGAGTTTTGCCACTTTTGCAGCTAAACAGCTCATTCGTCCGTATAGTGGCATTCTATGCCTCTATAGTTCTTTCAGCGAATTTGGTACATTTAAGCTTTCTCTACAAAGCTTTCTCTGTTTTTGCCTGGTAACATTGCTATTTTATTATGAATATCCTGTTTTACTGCTATTTATTACGCATATCCTGGGTTTTGGAGTCATTTTGTAATAACTGACTGCATACAGCCTTTAAAGAGAATATGAATGAAAGGGCCAATTTTGCTCCATTGTAGTCAGTGGATGTTTTGCACTCTATGGGTCTATCAAGAGCAAGTGTGAGACTTGTGAAAGCAGAAGACGGTCTTTTTGGGGACTGGCCCATGCCTATACACTATTCCTAAAAAGATTTGAGAATGGCTGTAAACTTTAACTGCCTTCTGGACAAAAGGAAAAAGCTATAAGCTTCACCACTAGTTTTCTCATAATGATTTTACTATGATAAATATTATTAATATCAATAGAGAAATATAAAAATAAAACCCTCTTTCAGTGTAGAGAAAGGAGGAGAGCACTGAAGAGTGAGACTATGTTTAGTTTACCTGCTGGAATAATGTAATTTTGTAAGGCACTCAGTACTACGGCATTGAGTCCGGGAGAAAAGCCTAGATCATAGGCTTTTTTTACCTGGAGGCCTTTCTTTATGGCAAAATGCAAGGGGTGGCCCCCGAACAATAGGGGGGAGGGAATTTTTTTCTGGTATAATAGGAGGCCACAACATAGAACTACTGGGCTAGATAGACTAAACAGGGAGAATTCAAACGGAGCCAGATCAGGCCGTAAGTCAGGCCTGCACAACATGCGGCCCCCGTGGGCTCACTGTGCGGCCCGCAGGGGGTGAGTAGGTGGGCTCACTGTGCGGCCCGCGGGGGGTGAGTAGGCAAGCGGCGGGTGAGGGAGGGGGGCTGAGGAGGCAAGTGGGCAGACAATGGCGGGGGGGCAGGTGAGGCAGCAGGGGCGGGACTGAGGAGGTGAGCGGGCGGGCAGTGGCGGGGGGTGAG